AGTTAGAGTCACAGATTTTTTCAACAAATAACTTTTTAGCAGCAATTATGAATTGTAAATGACAGCATCAAATAGGCTGCCGTCTATATAAGTTTATAGTCAAAAAATATTTTCAAGAATCATGTAAATACATTTTCATATTAAAACAAGCAACGAATGTGGGTTTATCAGTAGATCCACTCAATGGAAAATTTCTCAAATGTGTGATTGAGTCAAAAGTACATTTGTCCCTGATGGAAAGCTCCAGGATTTTTTGTTTCTGTGTTTGTTTTTAGTCTTTAGAAGAAAACAGCTTTCTCTCCACTCTGTTCCACCTCATGCTACTGAGGATGGCCAGGCAGGCTGTGACTGTGAGGAAGGAGGAAGGCTGTGTACTGAGGGTGGTCGTGCCTCCTGCCCACCTGAGTGACCTCATGGAGCAGAGCCACCGACACCGCCAAGGCCACCTGCCTGCCTCTGCACTGCCATGGCACAGACACAGAAACCTTGTCCCATTTAGTTCACCATATTAACAGGCTTCTATGTAATAAATTTGATTATGCTTTGATTCTCCTTGTATCTCTCCCCTTTCAGTTTTTTAGATCATTTACTTTTCACTATTTTGCCTTGAGAATATACGCCTTTGGGATATCAGCAGCATGTATATTGTACATTTGTTTGCTTTCACTAAAATGTAACTAACTACCTTGAATGGGTTTTTATTTTATCTCCTTTCTCACAGAAAAGCAGAAACTCAAGGTGACTAGGTGCTGTCAATCACAGGGCGGCTAGAGGTGGCGATGGTATTGCTTACCTTGTGCTCTTGCGACTTACATTTTATTTTGTTTTACTGCATTCTGTAATAAAATATAGGCACAATGATGCATTAATTAGTATTTTTCAATAGCATATTGAGTGACTTATATTTCTTAATTTGAGGGCTTCGGTCTAATAAATACTTATATACATCTTGCCATGAAACTTTTAAACCTAACAGAAATGACACATTGGAATGTTAATTGCACTTCCTATGGAATCTGCTATCTTGAAATAAATCATCTCAAGTATTATTTAAACCCTTAACCTGCATCAGGATCTTGTTCTATTGATTCAATCAGTCTTCTGTGTCTCTACACATGTGTTACCACATGTGACAGACATCACTCATCATTATTCGGGTTCATGGAAATTTATTTGGCAGAAAGATCAGATCATAGAGGCAGATTAGTGGTAGCACAAGCGGTAACACATGTCAGAAATGACTGGTTTGGGGATAGTTTTCTACATGATAACGCTTGGTCATATTGCGAAATTGCTATGTTCCCACTTCCCAAACTTTCTCTCTCCTTCACCAGTCGCGTGAAACTGCCCTCTAGCATTATGGTGGAGAAAGCACTACTGCATTTTTAACAGAAAGCATTTCTGTTAGGTTTAAAAGTTACATGGCGAAATGTATATAGATATTTATCAGACTGTAGCCCTCAAATTAAGGAAGCATATAAATTTAGAGCACTATTGTCAATGGAATCTACTAAGAGCATAATTTTTCTATGCATTTACAACTGAAATAGAGGATTCAGATTTATTTTCAAGAAGAATGTCATATAAAAGTAATGCATTTATTCATTCTTAGAATCATTTTCTTATGTCAACAGAGCACTAAATATTTTCTCTTTAAAAGGCTATGTCTGTAAAATATTTTTAAAATTCTAAGATTTGAGAAGGAAATAAAATCTCATTTAATTCTGCATTGTTCCTGTGGCACATTATGTAAACTTTATGTTCTCCATCTGAATTATTTTGTTTATTTTCAAAGCCCACTTTTGGAATTGCAAGAATTCTATGCCAGAGTCCTCAGCAGCAAACTCTGCCCTGTATTCTCCAACAGCGTACTCCTCTGCTGACACAGAGACCCTGCTGACCTGCTTGCCAGACAAGCAGTGCGTGTGGGCAGCTGGGACACCCCAGAAGAAGGTTTCTGTACAGTGGTACTGTACCACTGTGGAAGGAAACTGTAGGACTTCCATGCAGTAATAAACCCCAACATCCTCCGCCTCCACTCTGCTGATTTTCAGTATGAAATCAGTGCCAGAATCACTGCCACTGAACCTGTCTGAAACTCTAGAGGCCCGGTTTGAAACAAAATAGATCAGGAGCTGTGGAGATTGGCCTAGTGTCTGCAGGAATCAATACAAATAGGCGTATCCATCATTGGGCAAGAGGCTCTGACTAGACCTGCAGGAGATGAGGGCTGGTTCTCCAGCGGAGACAGGCCAGGAGAGTGGAGTCTTGGTCATCACAATATCCCCACTTGGTCCTGAAATAATAACAGAAAAGTGCAAAGTTTATACCGACACATTGTGAGCAACCTTCATGATTTCCCTATGATACCGATTTACAGTTATACGAATTTTCAAGTTTTGACTTATATCATGAAAAACAGACTTTCTAAAATGAACCCATTATTTACCAGCCAGCGGGGAACTCCCCAGCTAACTGCCTGAGCCCAATTGACTCCACATGCTGTGGACACATTTGCTCTTTATTTTCAAGATCTTAATCAGAGCAGGGGTCATTGTTCCTTGGAGGTGAATCCTGTTTATTCTCAAAACCAAAATATGAATTTTCTTTCCTGGAGCATAGATCATGTGGCTGTAACACGTGGTTGAAATAAATATGGAAAACCGTGGAGCCCCCAGAACTCACCTTCCAGCCCCATTTTCCCAACTCATTTCACTTCTGTCTCTAGCAGGGAGCCAGAGCAGTAGCCGCCCCAGGAGCTGAGCAGGGAGCCTCACTGTAAGAAGGTGAACTGAGGAGTCATGATCAGTCAAGGCAAGGTTAGACCTGAGCTTTTATCTCAGACTCACAAGGGAAGGTCCTCCCTAGAGGACAATATGCAAATCACCTGGTGGGGGCAGCAGTGTGGAAAGGGTCAGTGGTGTAGAGGGTATATCTCTACTGTGAACAATGTGACATAAAATGTTCCATGGAGCAAAACAATCATAGTTCAAGTCAAGTATGCCTGTAGCAGGAGAGGACAGGACACACTAGGATCTCCTCCCAGTGACATGACTGAGCATCCCTGCAGCTATGAGGACAGCAAGAAACTTTAGTGGTTGCTCCAGGGATGATGTGGCAGCCAACACTGGAGGGTCTGTGGGACTTGTGCACCCAAAGTAGTTAGGAAGGAAGAGGCTCTGGAAGGTGCCCTGGAGAGATCGGGTCCCTGTTCACACAGAAGAAGAACATGTACCTGTGACTGAGGCCTCATGTCCTCTTCCTCAAAGACTTTCTAGGCAACTGCCTGAGCCCACCTGATTCTACCTGCTGTGGACACATTCCCTGGCACCACAACCTCTCCTTCTGCACTGAGAGGCTGAGCTTCCTTGGGAGGGTTGTGTTTGGGGCCATCACACTGTGCAGGGGCCCAAGGAGTGTCCTGCTCACAGGAGGATGTGCAGCATCTCGGGGCTCCAAAGTAGTGTTTGTGATGGTGAAATCCCTAGAATTTTGGTTAGATGTGAGTCCCCACTTGTGAATACCTTCTACAGACATGTCATTCTTTATTTTGCAAACTATTTTCTATAAACCGTCTTTTCTTTGTTTTGGTACTTTTTGGTTAAGAATGTAATTTTCATTGCACTACCTTTAGTCTCTACACTGGTGATTGTGGGAGTGAAATCAATAGATGTTGGGTTGGATGTGTGTTCTCACTCATGAATGGAAAAGTAAAGACTTGTCATTCTTTGTATGTGTGACAAATTCCTTGCTGTATTCTATGCTTTCTCTTTTCTTTCTTTCTTTCTTTCTTTCTTTCTTTCTTTCTTTCTTTCTTTCTTTCTTTCTTTTCTTTCTTTCTTTCTTTCTTCTTTCTTTCTCTTTCTTTCTTTTGAGACATTTCTGCTAAAAATACACCAGGTCTGGGCAATATGATTCACGCCTGTAATCCCAGCACTTTGGAACAATGAGCAGGTGGACTACGAGGCTGGGAGACGAGGCCATCTTGGCTAGCACAGTGAAACCCTGTCTCTACTAAAAATACAAAAAAATTAGCCGGGCGTCATGGCGGGTGCCTGTAGTCCCATCTACTCAGGAGGCTGAGGCAGGAGAAAGGCATGAACCTGGGAGGCAGAGTTTGCAGTGAGCCGAGATTGCACCACTGCACTCCAGCCTGGGTGGCAGAGTGAGACTCCATCTCAAAAAAAAAAAAAAAAAAAAATACAATTTTAAACTCACTCACCATGGGATCCATCATCTTAGAATAGACAATCATTTCTGATGTGATTAAATTTTTTAACCAGAAAAAAGGTATTTTGTCCTTTTAATACAAACATTTCTTTAAGCATATCACCTCATGACAGGTAACTGATATGCCCATGAATAATTCATAAATATTTTTGGAGCATTATTTTAACTGAATATATAAAATCATACATTTTTCTATACCATTACCACTAGAATATACACATCAAATTTATTTTAGGTAATGATCACATTGTGTAAAAATAATATATTTACTTACTTCAAACCCTTTCATTGTTCGTTTATGACAACTTAATATCAAAGTTGTCATTTATCAAAACCTGCTGGATTACATCCTGCTGGGCCTTCTGCTCAGCATGTCAGTGGTCGTGACATCTCCCAGACCCAAACAGTGGTCTCTGCTAGACCTCCTCTAAGGATAGAATAAGTTTCAGAAGCTCTGCCTGGCTGCTGTGATTTGACTAGAACTGAGTGACATGACCTCAGGTCTCTTTGCACAGGGACTTCAGTAAACCTTTGGTGATTACAGAACTAAATGCTTACTCATGACATTACTTTCCTGAGACTCCCAGTGGCACAGGCTCCACCCAGGAAGCCAGGCAGCAGTGCCTTCGACTTTGTGGTTCTTCACAAGAAACATATTTGGCCCGTTTTTGGATCCACATCAACAGCCATCACCACTTCCAGACACATCCGCACCCACCATAATCAAGGACAGTTTAATTGAGGAATAGCTGACCTCTCCTGTGTTCTCTTCATGCTCCCATTCCCGAAGTCTGCCCAATCTCAAATTCTGAACTTTGGAAAATAAAACGGTTTACATCACCCTGTATTTCCTCAGTGATCCATGGAAAATACTACATCTTTAGTATACTGCATCTTCCAGCATATGCATTTTATTTTTTAAAACCAACTTTCAAAATTTCAAGAACTCCCTTTTTCTATCAGTAAGAGATAATTGTAATCAAAGAGTTTTAGTATTAGGATCTTGCGTCCGCTATGAAATTACAAAATCTGTTTGACACTCACAACCAAGATGTTACTGATTGTCCTCAGCCAATTCCCCCTGAGGAGAACTAGTGGAGAATCCTGTCTCTACTGTCTCACGGAGTGGAGAAGACTGGTGAATAGAAGAAGCAGGAATTTAAAAAGTGGTAAAATACCAATTTTACATATAACCAAATATTTTCCTTAAAAGGTACCCAAAACTGTTAAACTCTAAGATGTATTCGACATGTTTTGCCAGAAATGATCAATTGTCTGGCTGTTTTGCTCAATAAATTTAAACAAATGCAGGCAAAGAAGGAGGATTCAGATGAGCTTCTATTCTCCTTGCCCTTTCCTCCCAATTTTTCACTCACAGGGCCCTAGAACCTCCTCATTCCCCTGTTGCTTAAGAGAGTCAAGGCTGTGGCAGGTGACAGGAACATAAACAGGGTGCTGACCTGGAGCAATGGCTCACACTAGACTCCCAGAACGTGGGGAGGCCAAGCCATGTGCGTGGCTTGAGCCCATGAGTCTGAGAACAAGCTGGGCAACATGGTGAAGCACTGCCATGCTTAGTGGCATGCACCTGTCGTATCAGGCAGAGTTCTCAGCAGCAAACTCTGCCCTGAATTCTCCAACAGCCTCTTCTTCTGCAGACTCAGAGATCCTGCTGAGCTGCTCCCCAGGCAAGCAGCACATGTGAGCAGCTGGGACACCCCAGCAGGGAGCTTTCTGTTCCGGGCTATACCACTGTTGAAGGAAGCTCTATACGTTTTACGCAGTAATATACCCCAACCTCCTCAGCCTCCACCCGGCTGATTTTCAGTGTGAAATCAGTGCCTGACCCACTGCCACTGAACCTGTCTGGGACTCCAGAGGCCTGGCTTGAAACATCATAGATCGGAAACTGTGGAGACTGGCCTGGCTTCTGCAGGTACCAATCCAAATAAGTGTATCCATCATCACTATCCAAGAGGCTCTGACTAGACTTGCAGGAGATGGAGGCCGGCTCTCCAGGGGTGACGGGCAGGGAGAGTGGAGTCTGGGTCATCACAATATCCTCACTGGATCCTGAAATAATAACAGAGATGTGCAAGGTTATATAAACACATTTTGAGCAACTTTCATGATTTCCCTTAAGATGTTGATTTACAGTTACAAAGTTTTTCAAGGTTTTATTTATATAATGAAAGGTAGAGTTTCTAAAATGAACCCATTATTTACTAGCCAGGAGGGAACTCTTTATTTTCAAGTTCTTTTTATTATTATTATTATTATTATTATTATTATTATTATACTTTAAGTTCTAGGGTACATGTGCATAACATGCAGGTTTGTTACATATGTATACTTGTGCCATGTTGGTGTGCTGCACCCATCAACTCGTCATTTACATCAGGAGGGGGGAGGGATTGCATTGGGAGTTATTTTCAAGTTCTTAATCAGAGAACTGGTCCTTGTTCCTGGGAGGTGATTCCTGATTATTTCTGAGAAAAATAAATGAATTCTCTGTCATGGAGCATAGACCATGTGCCTGGGACACACGTTTGAAATAAATATAGGAAGCTGTGAGGTCCCCAGATCTCATCCTTCCACCCCATTTTTCCACCTTATTTTAATCTTCTCCTTACCAGGGACCCAGAGCATTAGCAGCCCCAGGAGCTGAACAGGGAGCCTCATTGTGGGAAGGTGACCTGAGGAGTCCTGATCAGTCAAGGCAAGGTTAGAGCTGAACTTTTATCTCAGACTCACGAGGGAAGGACCTTTCTAGGGGACAATATGCAAATCATTTGGTGGGTGCAGTTGTGTGGAAGAGGTTGATGGGGTAGGGGGAATGTCTCTTTTGTGAACAGTGTGACATAAAATGTTCATTGGAGCAAAACAAACATTGTTCAAGTCAAGTTTGCCTGTGGTCAAAGGAAGAAGGCTCTGACTGTGAAAGTTGGGACCTTGAGCAGGGACACATTGTGCAGTACATGCCACATGGAGAAAGCACAAAGACCATGACAATGTAGAAATGTGTTTCTAGAATGCATCTGTGGGAGGTGAATGTCATCTTGCATGGCTCCCTCCAGTCAATCTAGAGAAGAAAACAGCCCCATTCCCACAAGCACTGATGGGCAGAGGACTTGCAAATGAAAAGTGCTCCTGAGCCAGTTCAAGTGTTGCCTGGTGTCTGCTGTTTCTAGGATAACTGGTCAACATTGTTCAAAGCAAGTGTTAAGATCTACCCTACCCTGGAAACTGGTGAGAGAGCGCCATAAGACCACTCTGACCAAACACCTCACAGAGAATGATGTGGGTCTCTACATTTAGAGACAAGAGCTTAGCACAAGTAAGAAGAAAGGGGACAAGAATGTTATGCCTCAGGCAGTGAATATAAAATTCCTGGTGATCATCTGTTCAATCTGGAATATATCCTAATAAAATCATCCCACATATACCAGATTAACCAGTAGGCTCTCATAGGGAAGAATTTCCTCGGTTAATGATACAGACCAATAAGATATCACATTGTATCATGTTTTTCCGAGTGGTGCTTAGGAAAACTCTTCTCACACAGTCTCCCTGGTCATGTGGGATCAGGTCCTATCAGGGCTTCCAGGTTCTTGCCAACTCTGAGTGAGACCTGAGTCTCACCCAACCTAGATATGGTGCAGCCACAGCCATGAATCTGCAGTTCAGAAGGAAATTTTCTATGTGAGAAGAGCAAGGACTGCATCTACAGTTTGATGTCTCAGGGTACCTGTACCTGAAACTGACATTTTCATGGTTTCCTGAAAAGACACTCGCAGCTCAGGGATGTGAGTCTGTCATACAGCTGATCATTAGAAAGAGAAACAATCCCACTTTTTTTCACTTGTTAGTGATGAGCTTAATATTTAATTGAACAGTTCCTGAATAATGGTGTCGATACCGAATAACGTCACAAGGACAGTCACATTTCTGGAAAAAAAAAAATACGGGAACAATGGAAAGACTGAATTGTAATTGAAATACTATGTAATCATGGGAAATTTAACAGAAATTCATAATTAATTGCCCAAGAAGACAAACAAATGAAATTCTAGGTAATATTCCAAAGGAAAGCTCGGTTTAAATATCTTCTGGGAAATCTAAGAAAATAACATTTTTTACAAGATTGGAAAAGATAATTGAAAAACCAACAATAGTGACCTTTAAATATTGAACTCCATTGCAATAATGTGGGTTAAGGAGATCAAATTGTACTTAAGAGAATGGATTGAAATAAAGGCTCATGTTTTATTTACTCTTTTCTCATTAAATTTAGTAACTTTTGTGTATGTGATTTTTCTTTTCTTATGTAATTAACCAATTCTAATCTGCTTCTCAGTCTTCAAAACATCAGAACCCTAATTAATCATAATAGTGAAAAAAGGAACATTAGAGGCTGAAGGAAAAGAAAAAGAAAACACAAACCACAATCAGCCTAACTAAAGTGGAACAAGATGGTCCATCTTATCGCAAGTTTTAAATAATTATCCTGAAAGGGTGTTAAATGAAGAATCAGTTGCATCCATTATCCAATCCAGAAATTTGAATTGCAGGAAAGTGAATGACAGTAAAAATGTTGTCATCTTTTCTTTTACTAAAAGTCAATTCTTGAACATATTATTTTTGCAAAGTATTCTTTAAGATGCTTAAATTTAAGACAGGCTTGCTAATTCCTGTGAGACTTCATAATAAATTGTTAAGAAGGCTACCACTGTGATTAAGACGAATCTCCTGATCTGTTGCCTTACATAATCATTAAATGTGAAATCTTGTAAAGATCTTTTTTATTCATAAAAGGACTTTGAAATTACCATGTATTACCTATAGACTTAAAGAATAATATTACTAATTCTGATTACAAACCTCCCTCTCTTATGTGTCGACACTTTATGCCAAGGCTTTAACAGCAACACTGTGGTCACTCCACAGTGGACAGAAATCAGAAGGTTTCAGAACCACCTCCATTCGGATCTGGGTGTGAAGCAGGCCTCTGCCTCTGAGCGTCTCTAACATGAACCATGGTCACCTGGATGAGGGACGACTTATACAGGTGGGGTTTATTATGGCTGTGTCTCCTTTCCCTGATGCGGTTAGTTTGGGGTCCATAGAATTGGGAGCAAATGCTTTATTCATAAGACTTGGGAAGAGAGTGTTGGAAGTGGAATTGCTTTTGTTCATGACCCTGGCGTCAGTGTTTGGGGTGGACACTTTGATCTGATTTGTAGGGAAGGGCTTGCGGGTTGATCAAGGAAAAGAGATGGCCACAGGGGGGCAGTCGCACACATGACTTTATTGGATGAGGCTGTGTCAGGTTTGCAGAGCAGCCCCTCAGCAGGAAACTGTGCAGAGAATAAGGTCCCAGGATTGCTTCTCAAAACAGATGGGTCACTGGACAAGAGGTTGTGTGTCTGGGGGATGCTGCACAGCAGCACAGTGGGGAGTTTCTGGTTTAAGGTTTGCATAACTGGGGTTTATCTTATTGCTAGCAGATGTGGTTGAAATTTTCTGGACATGTAAAGTATTTTCTGAAAGGCTGAAATATTCTTCTCTTTTGAAATAAACAACATAGGGGCCAGGACACACAGGCCATCTTTAGCTCATTTGTATGTCACTGTTTCCAATTCTGTAGACTTTGTTCTACAGACTGTATTGGCCCATATTGTCCAAACAAACACTACCATGGATGAGGGTGAGAAACACAGAGACCTGTTCCCCTCATGGGATGCAACGAAGGTTATTTTGAGTAAAGGGAAGAGTTTCTCTTTGGATGAGAACTGAGACTAAGCCACCCACGGAGTGTCCCTTTGTGAAGCTGCAGATCCTGTGACTGGATTCCTGGCCGCAAGGCACCTGGGGTAGAAGCTGTGTGCATTATCTCACTAACTGTAAATTGTCACTCACTGGACCATAGATTCACAGGTAAATATTCTGAAACCCAAAGAGTTCAGGGAATGAAGCCTCTGCGAATGTATGTCTTCTGCTTCTGAGAATCCATCTCTCCAGCACTGGAAGAAAGAGGGTTGCTTGTATGTTACACCTTCATACCCTGTTTTAGACCTGTCTAAGCTGAAACTGTTTCCAAATGTTTGAATTACTGTTCTTTACTTTTTCTTGTAAAAATGTTTAGAAATCCTGTAAAACTATACACACAGCTGTGGGATTAAATGGTGAGCTTTCCCTCTGTGCTTGTTAAACATTCTGCAGAGCCCACCTCAGCCACCAGCAAACCGCACAAAGTGAAGTAATGATTCTGTTTCCTTCCTGAGCATTCTGTGTCTTGAAAGTTCCCTCTCAAATCAAATCTTGAATCTGGGCATTCGTCTCTACAGCTGCCATCAAATGACACTAAGTGGTGTCCCCATTAACAAGGCCACTGTAATGTGTGCTACATCAACACGGAGAGAATCAGAGTTCGGGATTACAGGAGTATCTATTTTATTCCAGTGTTTTTAATGAATGTCTTCGTCTTTAAAAGAAGGAAGCCCCAAGTAGGACATTTTTAGCTTCTAGAGGCTACATATTCTACCCCTTATAATACAGATTTGGTCCACCAGGTGACATGAAAGTCTGCAGTCGTGAGTGGGACTCAGGATAGAAAAGGGCTCTGCAGCAGGTGTGGGTTGCAGTGCAAACAGGCCTGTCCCTTGGGCCACTGCAGATACAGACGACTTGAACAACACTATCAACCATCTGGACAAGATTGATGCTTAGAGAACACTCCACCAAACCACAGCAGATTCCATGGTCTTTTCAAAATATTAGCTAATGATACATATATTTGTGGCCACAAGATATTTCAATAAAATAAAGCTGATTAAATCATAAAAAAACAAATTATTCATAACTGAGAGAATTGTATTAGAAATTGGAAACAGAACGTTGTCAGAAGGCCGTTGGTGGAAGAAGGAGGAGGGATGAAAAATTACCTCTTGGGCACAAGGTACACTATGAGGGTGATGGGTAACTAAAGTCCAGAGTTCACTACTATACAATTCATCACAGTCACCGAAAACCACTCGTACCTCTAAAGGCACTGAAATGCTAAAATTAATTTTTTAAAAATTTATTAAAAGGATTCCAAATATTTTGAAACTAAGTAAAGTACTACTAAATATACACTCAAAAGAAGGGACTTTTATTTTTAGAGATGTGAGGATGTGACAAGTACATATCTAGTATTCCACCATTAGAATCACATCTGTCTCCCAATGAAAACACCATTAGCAGCTGTACAAGAAGAAAGTCTTAGAGTGGATGGGCAGAGTGAGTAACTGCTCAGAGAGGATGAGGAGTCAGGGAAAGTCAAAATAGGAATTCTTTGTGATATTATGAGCTGCACATACATGAGACTCCTGTGATCTCTGACTTGCTCATAAGCCGAACATCATGCAGTGCAGGCTTCTTTCCATCTTCCTGATGATTGGTGAGAGTGGGGTCACTTGGGAAAGGCATGGAGAAGTGCAATGAAAGTCATCAGTGGCAGCAGCTCATGACAGGACACACTAGGGTTCCCTTACAGTGATATGACTGAGCATCCGCACAGCCATGAGGACAGCAGGGAACTTTAGGTGCTGCTCCAGGGAGGATATGGGAGCCAACCCTGGAGGGTCTGTGGGGCTTGAGTGCCCTAAGTGTGGAGGAAGGAGAAGGCTCTGTAAGGCATC